GAAAGAAAGAAAAAGAATTTAAGAAAAACAAAGAAAGCCTACAAGATCTATGGGACAATATTAAGCATTCAAACATCCATATTATGAGTATTCTGGAAAGAGAAGACAAGGAAAGAAAGCATCAAAAACCTATTTAATGAAATAATAGATGAAAAATTTTCAGGTATTGGGAGAGATATACACTTCAAGATTCAAGATGCAAGAGGCTCAGAGATCCCCAAACAGTTAACCCCAAAAAGCCCTTCCCAAGACACATTATAGTCAAAATTGTCAAAAGTCAAAGGTAAAGAAAGAATTCTACAAACAGCAAGATAAAAGCATCAAGTCACTTATAAGGAAATCCCTGTCAGACTAATAGCAGATTTTTTAGCAGAAACGTTGCATGCCAGGATAGAGTGGGATGATGCATTAAAAGCAACATAAAAATAGACACATGTATAAATGGAACATAATAGATAACTCAGAAATAAATTTATATATTTATCACCAACTGATCTTTGACAAAGGTGCCAGGAACATACATTCAGGAAAGACCAGCCTCATCAATAAATGATGATGGGAAAACTGGATATCCATGTGTAGAAGGATGAAACTAGACCCTTATCTCTCACCACTTGCCAAAATTAGCTGAAAATGGATTAAAGACTTAAATATAAAAACATGAAACTATCAAACTTCCTGAAGAAAACACAGAAGAAATGCCTTGGGAGAAAGGACTGGGCAAAGATTTTATAAATAAGACTTCAAAAACACAAGCAACAAAAGAAAAAAAAAAAGGGGGATTATATCAAACTACCATGCTTCCGTACAGCAAAAGAAACAATCAACAGAGCTAAGAGACAGCCTACAGAATAGGAGAACGTATTTCTAAACTATGCATCAGACATGAGCTTAATATGCAGAATATGCAAGGAACACAAAAAAACTCAATAGTAAAAAACAAACAAACAAACAAAAAACAATTAACCCAACTAAAAAGTGGGCATGTCTCAAAAGAAGGTATACAAATGGTCAACAGTTATTTTTTAAAAAATGCTCACTAATCATCACTAATCACCAGAAAAATGCAAATCAAAACCAGATTGAGATATCATCTCACCCCAGTTAGACTGGCTATTATCAGAAATAGAAAATGACAAATGCTGGTCAGGATGCAAAGAAGGAGGAATTCTTAGACATTGTTGGTGGGATTGTAAATTTGTACAGCTATTATGTAAAACAGTATAAAGTTCTCTCAAACAACTACAGAGAGAACGACCATAAAACCCAGCAATCCCACTAATGCGTATATATCCAAAGGACTGGAAATCATCATGTCTTTGGAATACCTCCACTCTTATGTTTATTGCAGCTCTATTCCAACAGCCAAGATATGGAACCAACCTAAATGTTCAAGACAGATGAATGAGTAAGGAAAATGTGGTATGTATACACAGTGGAATACCACTCAACCATAAAAATAGAATGAAATTCTGCCATTTGTAGAAGCATGTATAAAATTGGAGAAAATTATGAAGTAAAATAAGCCAGGCATAGAAAGAGAAATACTGCATGTTCTCACTCATATGTGGCAGTTAAAACAAACAAACAAACAAACAAACAAATAAATAAAATAATAATAAATTGAACCTTTAGAAGTAGGAGTATAGCTGTGGTTTACTAGAGGTGGGAAAGAGGAGGGAGGTGGGGGATAGTGAGAGATTGGTTAATGGACACAAAACTGCAGTTAGTTAGAAAAAATAACTTCTAATGGTGTACACTAATGCTAAGCACCTGTGACCAACAATAATTTATTGTATGCTGTCAAATGGCTAAAAGAGAGGAGCGTAAATATTCTCATCACAAAGATGGGATAAATTTTATGATGATGAATTTGCTAACTACTCTGATTTGTTCACTACACATCGTATACATGTATTGAAATATAACTCTGTACCCCATAAATAGGTGCAATCAATACATTTTAATAAAATAAAATTAACAAATGAAAAAAAGAGAAAATAGTGGGAATTGAATATAAATATGAACAGATAAATTAGGCAATAAAAAGCTAAATTAAAAAATAGGCGAATAAGGGCATTAGAATTAATGTAAGTATAAAGGTAACTACTAGAAAAAAATCCTAAAGTAATTTTCAATGTATTAAAGCATAAAATAGATCACCAAACATATCAGTCACATTTGAATGGGCTTAAATAACCTACAGAAACAAAATGTTTTCTTATATAGCAAGACCTAATTATATTCTGCATATACACACCTAAAACAAATGATTCTGAAACACTTAAAAACGAATAAGCAATGCACCCAGGCAAAATGACACAATAAGCAGATATGAGTAGCTATTCTGATACTGGACAAAGTGAAATTCAGGTCAAAAAACATTAGATTGACAAATGGCACTTATTCATCTAATAGCCACAATCACCAGAGATATATTACACTTATGAGTATTTTATTTATTAACAAAAACACAGAAAACATTATTATGAAGAATATATATATGTGTATATATACCTGTACACGTGTGTGTGTGTGTGTGTGTGTGTGTGTGTGTGTGTGGACATGTGAGGGTACTTCAAAAAGTTCATGGAAAAATAGAATTGAAAAATAATGTGAATATTTCTATGGGCTTTTTAGAGTACCCTCATATATATGTGGAAAGGAGATAGTACATAGAAACACACAAATAGTGTAAGACTTAAATATACCACACCCAGAACAAAACATATCAGGTAGAAAAAATAATTAAGGAGAGAGAACACCTAAACAATATAATCAATAAGGTAACTTATGGATATACTCATATATCCACCTCTACACTGATAGTAGAGAATAAATCTTTCCTCAAGATACCACAGAATATATACAAAAATTGACCACATATTAGATCACAGGAAACAGTACATTTTAAAATAGAAATACTGCTAAAACCCTTTCTGATTGCTATGCGATAAAACTAGAAACTTCTAACAAAAACAAACAACAGGAAAGCCTTTTCAGGAAAATAAATCTTTAATTAAACAACTCTCAGGTAAAAGAGAAAATATAATATCAAATTCCAGGATTTCAAAATAAATAATGGTAATGGAAACCATACCTAAAATCCATGGAAACAAGTAAAGTGGTAATTAGAGAAAAAATCATAGCACTGAATACTTTTATCAGTAAAAATAAAACAAATAATATAAATAAATTAATATTGCAGTTTTTAAAAACTTCATAAAGAACAACTAAGTAAATCAAAGAAACTGTAAAAAAGGAAGTGATAACAGAAAAACATAAATTAGTATTATGAAGAATAGAAAAAAGACTTTAGCATTTATAAACCACTCACTAATTTGATCAAGAAGGGAGAAAGCATATACAAAATAACAAGTAACCAGGTTGAACACTGAAGAAAGACATTTTAGAAATTATATGAGACTTCTTTGTAGATCTTTACGGATATAAACTTGAAAACCTATGTGAAGTGGATAATTTTCTAGGTGATTACAGATTACCAAAATTAACAAAATTTGGCCAAATCTTCAGAGAAAAAATAATCCTATTGTCCTATATATTTTCTGGAGCACTGCAGATGAAGGAAAATTTCCCAATTCCCATTATGAAGCATGCGTAGCCTTGATATCAGTGGTGGATAGAGTACTAAGGTGCTTCTGTGATTTCTGCTTGTTGATGTTGAATGTTCTTGTGTGATTCCCACCTCCTGAGTGTAAGAAAGGCCTGTGACCTATATCTTACATATAGAATATAGCAAAACTGATGGAAAATGTGCAATTGTGTATATGTGATTATGTGACACAAGATTATAAGCACCCGATTTGTGGTAGTCTCTCTTCCTCCCTTTCTGGATTTGAGAGTGCAAGCAATCATATTTGGGAACCCACATGGCAAGAACTATAGGCAGCCTCTTGGAGCTGAGGGTGTCCTTCAGCAGGTGGCATGCAAAGACCTCCAGTCAAACATCAGTGTTAAGGCCCTCAGTTACTCAACCACAGAAACTTAATTCTACCAACATGTATGTGAGCTTGGAAGCAGATCCTTCTTCTGCTGAGTCTCAGATAAGGCCGCAGACCTGACCAACACTTTGATTACTTCATTGCGAAACTGAAGTCTACAACTAGAATTCTGTTTTTATCTAATTATTATGGCCCACTATGCAGGCAAAATAGTTTTATAATCTACCATTATTTTATGAAGTGATAGGTTACAAAAATATTCTTGAAATAGGTTTTTCATTAACTTTTTTTAAAAAAAAAGAGTAGAAAAGAGAACAGTATCACAACAACATTCATTTATTTTAAGATATATCTATAATGAATATAAAAATGCAGAAGTTATTATTTTTCTTTATTCTTTACCATGCACTATGCAATGGTTAACCTAATTTATAGATAATATTGCACGATAATATTGCACTGAGTGGTGAGAGTTATTCGGCACAACAAATATTATTCTCTTATTAGAAGAGAAGAAAACTAAGGTTTACAAAATCTATATTACTTCTCTAAGACAACTTTGGACTTGGTAAAGAAGCTGACCTAGAAATAATAAGAAAAAATCTCCCTCAGGGGGTGAGATTCATTACCTTTCTTGCAAACCGAAACCAAAAAGTGTCAGGAAGAAACTTTGGACATCAAATGACTGAAAACAAAAAAACCAAAAAACAGGGTCACTGTTCATATTAAAGAATTTTATTAGGTCAACAGAGAAATGAGCTCCAGAATCAACATCATCAAGGTAGTTGCTGTGACACCATCATTCTGATGAAAGGAGAACTGACAGGTTTCAGGTGAGTTTCACCTTATTCCACTTCATGAGGAAAATTCCAGGAATTATAAATTAGACTGTAGGTCAACAAAAGACTATACTAGACTTCCACTGCAGCATAATCATCATCCAAGGGTGATGTGTACTAAGGCAGCAAACATGTGGAATTCGGAATTGGTGACTCCTGATGTCACAGGTGTAGAAGGTGAGGGTCTCCCATGGTGTCTTCAATAGCAGCAGTGAAAGCCAGAGCCATAGCCAGAGCCACATCCATAGCCACAGAGAGAGCGGGATCCATATCCATAACCACAGCCTGGTCTGCGGTAGCCATAGCCACAACCCAGACCTCCATAGCCACAGCCCAGGCCTCCATAGCCACAGCCCAGGCCTCCGTAGCCACAGCCCAGGCTTCTGTAGCCATAGCCCAGGCCTCCATAGCCACAGCCCAGGCCTCCGTAGCCACAGCCCAGGCCTCCGTAGCCATAGCCCAGGCCTCCATAACCACCGTATCCACAGCAAGGGCTGCCATAGTAGTTTCTGTAGTAGCTGCCGCACATGGTGTTGGTTGTTGAGATTGTCCTTGGGTAGAGAAGGAGAGTAGGTGACTTGAGTCTGGACATTCTCCCTGCAGAGAGCCTTTTATATGCCCTCATTCTGGGTGGGACCCACCACATATGCTCATGGCATTGGCTAATTTTGTGACTAATCTAACTATTGTGTTGTTTTAAGACCAGATGGTAACACCTTAAGGCATTAAAGAGGTTTGCTTTAATAATCACGGCCCTTTAATAAGATGTTATAGTCACACATACAAAGCTATCATTCATACCAAATCTTCACTTTAATATTTCATAACCATATGTCACAAAAACAGGGAGCATTCCCAAGAATTTCAATTGCTCTGCTCTTAATGGTGATTGTTTTTTCTCCTTGACCTTCAATAATTATAGTACCCTCCATGAGATATTTTTAACTCTTGCTTCAGACCAGGGTCAAATAGTGGGGTGTTGTGGTGGCTCATGCAACAGTGATGAGATTAAAGTATACAGGGTAACTTAGGAAATACTGCATTTTAATCAACTCTCCCCTATTATCAGATGTGAGGACACAAAGGTTATTGGTTTCATATGCCTTAATAAGAAATTCGAGTACGGAAAAAGCATGTTTGTACAATAAAACTGATAAGTGAAACCATTTTTATTCATTCAAAAAGTTTTCCTTTATGTATATGTCTTTATAGGTATTTTTGTAATCAAAATATATAAACACATTATTGCAACGAAATGTTATGCAGTGTCCTTCTTGATAGAAACATTGTTAGCAGATAGATCTTGACCACATCACTGTAAACATTCCTGTAAAGGAAATAGTATTAGCTTGAACTTTTGCTCTGAAGATGCAGCAAATCTATCCATCTTTCTGTCCATCTATCCATGCATCCATGCATTTGTCCATGTGTTCATCCATCCATCCATCCATCCACCCATCCATTAATCATCAATCAAATTTAAATAGGTTTAATGACAACTAGTGGCAGTAGTGGAAGAGCCATACGTTCTCTCAGGCTACATAAGTTGTAGATGTCCACATTAGATCATAACTAAAACAAAGAATGTATTTTATGTTTTATAAGTAAAACTTTAAATGGATAATGTGGTTGACATTTAAGTGGATATGGAAAGTACTGTTTATCTTGTAGCAAAATATTCCTAACATCAGAACTGATGGGGCTTGGGTATGGAAAATATAAGATGACTTTGGAAACCTGTCAGACTAAGAGAGACGTATCAAAAAGATTGGAAGGAGCTCTTGCTGGCCAAATCTGGGATAATTGTGCATCTAAGTAAGTAATTATCACAGGGATTATAATACACTGAATAAAATAAGAACTCATTAGTTAATACCAATATAAATAAATAAATGGATGATAATGGAAAGTTCTTTACAGAAAAATTAAAATCAATAAATATATTAGGAATTGAGGAGTGAAAAAAAATAATCAGTGGATTCTAAACTAACAGATTAAAGATTTGATGAAGAATAAGATACCCACACAGTCCCTCAACTGGGGAAAATAGTGGCTTTATAGAAAACCTGGTGAACACCAAACAAAGTTAACATTTCCAAAACTCTTACAAACCTATATCCTATGCCTCATGATATTATGTACTAACAAGGACACAGAATAATTTCAGTGATATTCCTGTCAAAAATGCATAACCCCAAACTACTCATGAAGAAACAACAAAAAAAACCCAAGGTTTGGGACATTATTTTGTTTTTACTTTATTATTTATTTTATTATATTTAAAGTTATCAATGTACAATGTAGTTGATCTTTGTGTCGCTTAACTAGTTCTCTTTTCCCCCTTCCACCCCTCCCCCCAACATCATATCTGTCCACCTGTCTTAAGAATAACACATGTTCTCACTTATTTGTGGGAGATATAAATGAATGAATGAATGAATGAATGAACGAACGAACGAACAAATAACACATGTTCTCACTTATTTGTGGGAGATATAAATGAATGAATGAATGAATGAATGAATAAACGAACGAACGAACGAACAAACAAACAAATAACAAACAAACAAACAAACAAACAAGTTTTGGGGCATTCTAACACAACAACCAGCTTGTACTTCCAAAAAATATCAAGGTCCTAAAATGTAAAGAAGGGCTGAGGACTGTACACATGACTTCTCTATCTCCATTTGTGCATCTAACAACAACAATCAGCCCAACTGGCTATTGCTTTCTTCTCGTTCCAAGGCTGTGCTACACTTTTCTGGAATATGACATAGCACACTTGTTTTATTTGCCACTAACCTCACAAGCTGCTGCTCATCATTATCCCTCGCTTGACTCTTTTAGAGTTTGACCTCAAGATGCCAGAGTGCCTAGGGCTTAGCGTTGATCCCTTTTATAGTTTCTACCTAAGCTCTTTTCTAGTAGATCTCACTCAGTCAGGGCTCCAAATAACTTCTGTTTTCCTATTAATCCTATTTTATACCTCCAGGCATGAACTTTTTCATTTCTTTACCAACTAACTTTTGAGCACTTCGACTTCTATGCTAATTGGCTTCAGGAACTTCATATGGCCAGCACACAGCCCATGATTCCCTGTAAACTTGATATATCCTATTCTACTTTTTCTGTCTTAAAATATAACATAAACTAGTACATGGCATTGCCCCTGTAAAAAAAAATTCCTCAAGGCCTTCCATTGTGCCAATAAAGCCCTGACCGTGAGACCCCAAATGTTCTGACCCTTACCTACCTGTCTGATTTTGTCTCCTTCCACTCTTTCCCACTTATTTTTAGTGTTCAAACGACACGGACTTTTCAGCCCCTTTAATACAACAAGTTTATTCTCATGATAAGGCCCTGGTTTTTACACTGACTAAATCCTCTCTTAAAATAACACCAGAAATGATTGTCTCCTCTTCTAATTCAATTAAAATGTTAACTCCACAGAGACAGCCATCATGGCCACCTTATCTTATTAGTCTAGCTTCAGTAACTTTTTGAATTTAATGTAACTCACTGAGTGCCATTATCCTTATACTGTTCTTTATTATTAGAATTTATCTTATTTCTTTTAAAAATCTGTCTTCTTATTCCTTCTGTCTCAATTGTAACCTCCAGAAAGTAGAGACCTTTTTGTGTTCATCTTCTCCATTCTCATTTCTCATAATGTGCCTGACACAGTAGATTCTTAATAAATATCAGATGAATAAGTGAAAAAAATGAACAAATAAATGAGACGCCCTAACTTTCTATACTCTAGTTTTGTATAGAATAAACCAACCTTTGTTCTATGCATGGGGTACCTGAGAATAAATTCATGTACTGTGAGATCCTTTTAGATCATATGAAAACTATTGAGTGAATTGATTACAGTAATTTTTCCTGGCTTCAGAATATATACTTTTTCTGATTGTTAAAGTGGTATATACCACTAAAGTTTGTGAACTACTGTATATAATTCTATATTTCTCTCCGTATATTTTACTCTCCTCTTATTGATGTCTTTATAATACTTTTAGAAATTTGGAATCATATGAATTTTAAAATAAATTTACTAAGTATAATAATAAGGTAAAACGTTAATATTTATTATGTATTAGGAGAGGAAAACATGAATTTTGAGACATGGTGGGTAACTGCTTGCAAATTTCTGTGGAAGAAGAGAGATCTAAGAGTCAGTAAGAATAGAGAATGGACAAATACATTTTGAGATGTTTAGGAGGTCGTTGAAGATACATGGAGATCCAGAAACTTGGAAAATCTTTATGAAAATGGCAAACAATATTTTGAATAGGCAGGAGAGAATTTGGATGCCATATAAAGTTAAAAAAAATATATAAAAGTGTGAATGAGGGTTTAAGTATAAAATGTACAAATGGCAAACAATATTTTGAATAGGCAGGAGAGAATTTGGATGCCATATAAAGTTAAAAAAATATATATAAAAGTGTGAATGAGGGTTTAAGTATAAAATGTACATGAAATAAATACCTTATGTTTTTTTCTGAGTAATTGGACACCAAGAACAACATACAATGTTGTTTTTGTCTCTGTGTGCATATTCTTCTTGTTTGGCACAAAGGATATTTTTAATAGAAAGCTCTCCCAGATGCAAAAGGAACATCACGACTAATAATATAACCAAAGTAAGGGTGGTGAAAGAGGCAAGATTTCATTACTCTAAGAATATAAAGTAAGCATAAACTAGGGAGCAATTTTTATTCCTATAGAATAAGCAAAACACTGAATGAAAAATAAAATATACAGACTTACATTGACAGGTACATCTAGATGTTTTACCTGCTTTTTCACTACATCTGCATCCTTCTCTAACCACCCAGGCCACTCTGTGGTTCCAAGACTGCATTTATAAAGTGAAAAGAGGATATTTTAAAAAAAGATTCAAGAGGCAGGGAATATGCTTTATGTGATAACATGGGGGCTAGTTATCAAGTTTAAATTTGGGGTTTTCAGTAAGCACAGGCCACAAAATTAAGGGATGAGTATCTCCTTAAAGACCATGATTTAATTTATAGGCAGCCTGACACAACAGACAGGTTAAGAGATTTAAGAGTTTTTGGCTTTTTTAAATGTTAATGCCAATTAGTTTGGAGAATGAATTCAGTGTAGACTGTGGTTTGCCTCATATACCCTCGGGTTATATAAAAAAAGGATATGTATAGATTAGGAGATTCAAATTTCAGAAGCTGATTATCTGCCTTACCTGAACTTTCCACTTTTCCACTTCTGACACCATGTGCGGCCACCGCAACTACCATGACAGCCTGGGCTCTGGCTGTGACTCTGGCTGTGGCTCTGGACATGATGGCTAAGGATACTGCTGTTACAGTTCACGCTGCTATGGAAGATATTGGTCTTCTGGCTACTACTAAGAAATTCAGACTTCTGTTCACTTTGGATCATTTTCTTGTGAGTCACAAGACATACCAAGAGGGTCATTTATAGTATCATTATTTGTCCAAATTTGAGTAAATCTAATCACTGACTACCATGGATCATATT